ATATCAATCATCTAGGGGAGACTTTTTTTTTCTTATGTGATTTTGGATTACTCAATTGCAAACAACTCTTTCCTATCTTTTAACCCACTCCACTCCTATGCTCAAATTTATAATCTTTTACTTCCTCTACAAAGAGATTAATACTATATTACTTAGATTATTGATAATTATCTAGAGGAGGCTAACCATTTGAATGATTAAAGATTTCAAAATTCAAACTTTGGGATAGGTGAGAAGTTTATTTGAGGGCAAAATATTTCAATTGTATTGTGAAACATTAGAGAGGGATGCAGCCAAACTACTGTAATATATGATGAAAACTTGCAAAGATTGTTCTTCTGGAAGCGCATAATCTCAGTTAGCAAACCTCAGATAATACGAGATTCGATGGCGAAAATCTTAACATGCAGATTTGTGAAGACCGATAAAGATTAGTTGAGTACGGTTCCAATTAATCTGGAGAATTCTGCCATGCACAAGAACATAAAAGAAACATTCCAGAGCTGGATGCATCATCAAGTCATGAGATCCAATACATAATCAACAAAATCACATTGGTCCTCTTGAGAAATAATCAAAACGATGCATTCCTTACACTACGAACTAGTGTCATGTTCTTTGAGTATGTCAATAAAAGCCACTCACGAATGAATAATAAATGAATGAATAGTCGCCAATAATCTAAATGCCATTTGTATATACATAATTACATATCCAATCCTGGAATCTCTAGTATTACAATCCACGGCTGAAATTAACATGATCAGTTGACTAGAAGTTGGAAATGGCATGTTGCGGGATAGATCAAAACAATTGGCACCTAAAGATCTTTCCAAACATTAAAATCAGTATTTGAGCTATTATAGTTAATTGTAACATCTTGGCAACCAATAAAGAATGTACTATGTAAGGGATCGACATTTACTAAAGCATGTGCTGTTCCTCTCGTACTAGCTGCAACAGCAACTGCATCATCACCGATTATCACTTCAGCATAACCTTTATCAACTATCTGACGGTTTTCCACCTGTGATTTGGTCAAGATGAAGATAAAATAAATATTAGCTTCTTTTGTGCCATTTTCATCCCTAAAATTGCAAATCTGATATCTTCTATTGCATTCCTTAAGCTGCCATCCTCTTATAAAACAACAAAATAACACTATTTAGCTTGTAGCCACAATTCCACCAACATAAGTGAAGAGGCTCCATACCTATCTGTTCTACAAACCTTAGGGCATGTTAGGAGATAAACAATCTGTACGCAGGAATAAGATTTCCTTGGCACTTTTTACCCATACAGCCATACCATCAAATAAAATCACAACAATAATGCACAAAGATAAAGTCCAAGATTTGAACCAGAGTAACTGAACAAGGAGACGTCAACTAATTCCATTCATGCATTGCATGAGTTTCTTCTTTCCATTTCATTTTTGTGAAACATGTTTTTCTTTATTTTATTAAAGGAATATTTCAGAAACAGACAAGTGAATCATTTTGTAGCACCCAACTCTTCCACATGAATTTATGCATGTTAGCACAGGTTAAGGAGATTTCACCAAGATAAAGTACTGACCAGTGAAAGGTTGACATTTGAGATTATGTTTACCTTCACACCTATCTCTATGATGGAACCAAGATTTTATATTAGAAATGACATTAACACCAATGAATTAACAGATTTATTTACAGAAAGATCTCACTTTTGCTGACTCACTAAATGCAAGAGGGGAATATGAAGATCAGACAGACATCTCAAGAAAAAGATTTTACTTTAGGTAGAAAGAAGCATACCCTAAATTTTGTTCTAGCTCCCCAAATGACAAATGTCTCATTACAAGTGTGGTGTCTGTGGTTTCCTCTCACACCACCAGGTCGTATTTCACCAACATGTAACGATTCACAAGACACAGCTCCACCTGTATGAGAAAGCAATCCTCTTCAAGAAAGTAGAAAATGAATAAAAAGGGAGACACAATGAAAAAGAAATATTATCTACAGTTTAATCTCAGAGAAATAAGGCCCCAACCTCCATTTACAGAGGGCATGGTCATAAGCAAAAGAAAAGGCTAAATTCTAAATGGCTAAGTTCTTTTCACAATCACTTTGACTTATATCAGATATTGAACTTATTTTTTGGTTAGGTTGCATACTGAACTTTAAGAAGCCAAATATCTTTTTAACTTTTATGGCACACAACTCACTTTTGATATGGAGCTGCCAATTGCAAATCCAGTAACGAAAGACCAAAACCATTCAAGTAAATAAAACCTGATCAACCCACTCTTCACAAACTCGAGCCTGGAGAATATGTGTTGGTTCTGATGCAAACAGCAAGAATAAAAGACCAGCTTTATCATATAACCAGTAACAAAAAAACACCATGGACCTAATCTTCCTTCACAATTCACTACATTTGTCTGCCTAAAATAGTCATATAATCTGAAGGGAATCTAAACAAGTCTCTGCTCGAACTAGCATGCTTTTGTAGGTACCATCTCTTATTTGTCCCAAAATTCAAAGCAACTAAACATTTTCTTCAAACCTAAGGATTTGAAGTTCTAATTTCTGGTTTGTCTAATCACTACGCTAGAGCAACCTTAAGAGAATACATGGCAACTTAAACATATTATTGTGGTTAAGAGCTTCCACTCTTAGGCATCTCAAGACACCGCACTTAGCTTTATCTATCTCACCGAGAGCCAAAAGCACCTATTTTGGATAAAAACCCAACACACACACATAAAGGAACAAGATTTTAGCAAACTCTAAAAGATTCCAATCACAACAAGAACAATAGGACACAGAAATCCAAATTGGATATATACTCATGTAAGTAAGAGAGACAGAAAGGAGTACCTTTAACGCCAGAGTCAAGTGCAAGAGAGATGGGATTGAGCAACCACCCACGCTTGTCCTTGGCAATGGAAGAAGGGAACCCAGCTTTGAATCTCACAAGATTGGCCTTAATATCATCATCCTGGGTCCATTTCTCATGGGTTCTCGGGAAGCCATGGGAAGAGGTAGAGTACTGCAATCTGAGGAAGACCCATGTCAGCAACAGAAGCGCGGAGAGCAAAAATGGGAAGGCGTGGGGTCTCTTCAAGAAGTGGATAAGAGATGAGAACGAAGACCACGAGGTTTGGGTCTGAAATGGGTTCTCCAGGCTGTTGGAGTACGAATTTCTCCTAGGGTTCGCCATTAATTAACTCTTTATCTCTGCATTCGCTTAAAATCCCAAGGCCGTGGCTCCCCCTGATTTTGGAATTGCAAGTTGGGAAATTTTCAAAAATGGTCCTAAACCTTTGAGATGGATTGTAAAATGGTTCTATACTTCTAACCCTTTAAAACGTTGTCAAAAATAAAATAAAATAAACTTTAAAATTAAAACAATCTCAAACTGGTCCTCTTTAGAGAATCATTTTTGAAGGATTAGAATTACTCATGTTGATTTTTAATTATTAAGATTTATTTTTGAATGATAAAGAAAATTATTTTTAACTACTCACTTAAACTTTAGAAGATAGACAAATCATGAGTTTTATCTCAAGATAATAAAGAACTAGCTTAAACTTAAGTTCTTACATTGACACGAAGTTACTACCTCATCACATGAGCTAGGCTTCATTTGTTAGGACTTCTCACATACATTTTTCACACAACACATTATCTAAAAATGTAAATTTATAATTTTAATTAATTTTTATACATTTTTACTAATTTTAATTAATATTTCCTAGATTTTTAAGATAGTAAAAAACTAAAAAACTTACAATAACCACAGCTCAACACAACACAATATTTTTTTTTGTATTATCTCTCGATATACAGTAACCATATTAGGTTTCGATTAATTCGGAATTGAGTTACATCAAACCTCATTAGGGAATAAACTCTTCAGTGCCTATTTCTCTATTCACAATACTCGAACTCGAGATCTTATTTAAGGAGAACCAAACTCCTTTTACTCAGATCAACAGATCATTGATAACACAACACAATATTGACAAACGAATTCTTAACCCTATAATTAATGATTTAATTACTTCTAATAACCACTAATATTTAAAAAAAATCCAATTGAGTAGTTTGTATGAATTAGAAGTATACGGTCATGTGTGTATAGTGCTAGAATTGCATGAAAATATTTCTTTAGTGCAACAAGATACCATGTGTCCCGACCAATGGAAACCTCATATGTTACAGGTATTAAATTTTATATCAGAAATTTATTAAAAATTATCAGTATTATGTCACATAAGAAACCTACTATGTGCTTCCATGGTTGGGATATATTACCACATGAAAATTGGGACGTGATGTAATGGTTGCACTGAAGACTTTCTTTTCAATCACATGTTTAAGGTTTGGAAAATGATATGTGTACACCCGGATCCAACACTTAGGTATGCACACCCGGATCCAACACTTGGGTGTGCACACCTCCACATTAAAAAAAAAAAAACCCAACACCCGATTGGGTTTTTTTTTTTTATGTGGAGGTGTGCACACCCGGGTGTTGGATCCGGGTGTGCACCAATCATGATCTTTAAGGTTTAATCTTTAGTCTAGATAGATATGTATAGATATATATAAAATGAAAGTGTATGGATGGAAACGATGCAGAAAAATCTTGAACACCAAAATAGTATATGTTTCATACTACAAGGGCTAAAGTCCCATAAAGAAATAGAAGGTAACATCCGAAGAGCAGGATAGGGTTGGGAATGAGTAATGAGGAAAATATCAGCAGTAGACTAACTGTGCTGAGATCGCATTTGTCTCCGGATTCTTCAGCTTCCGCCATGGCTTCTGAGATAGAAGCCGCTTTAGCAGCTGTCCCCTCCGACGGTCCGACCATGTAAGTTTCTTCACTCCAGTTCTCAATTTGTTTCTATTTTCGAAAAATGTACAAAAATGAAATACATAATACATGAGCTGTGTTTGGATCAAAGGAAAATGGAAAAGAAAGAGAAACAATTTTTTTTAAAAGAAATAATAGAAAAAAAATTAGCAATTTAATTAATGATATGGGAACCCCTTTCTTTTCTTTCTTTTATCTATAATTATTCACTGATTTTCTTCCTTTTTTGTATTTTAGGTGTTAGTGTTTTTGGCTTATTTATTTTTATGTGTATCCCAATTGCATTACTTGCAGATTTGACAAAATCATCAACAAAGAAATTCCAGCAAATGTGGTTTTTGAGGATGATAAGGTAATGCTAAACCTCTTGCTGTCTAACTGATTTTTCACTGCTGGGACTTGATAACATTTCTGCCGCTAATGGTTGTACTGATAATTAGGTATGTCGGGACATGGTTATTAGTCTAGTGATGCAGCAAAGACAGAACCTTGATTGTATAATTTGGATTAAGCTCAATTCATGTTTAGAAGTGAACTAAGGTTGTCTTTGATTTAGTTATGGTGGCCAACAACTAAGGGAATGGTATTTAATTTAGTTTTTTTAGACAATAGCTGATTTCTAGTGTGATTAATCACAAACCCTTCGTATTGTTCTCTAGAAAGTCACTATAAAACCCTTAATATATCATTGACTGAATGAATTATGCAGTCCATCTGCATCTAGTCTTAAGTGTTATCTTTAAATATGGTTGGCCAAGAGAAAAAAAAAACTGTTAATCTTTAAATATGGAAAATGAGAAGTACAATGTCCTTAACTATGTTTTGTCTATTACTAAGTTTATATGTTTCATAATATAAACTTTAAAGACAGTACCCTTTTGTACACTTTTTATTGACATCATATTTTCATAACATATGAGAATTGACATACTATTTTCTTGAACCTTATCCTAGATGCATTGTTCCCATCATCTTATTCTGGTTTTAACTTTTGTGTTTCCTTCTGTTTGCTCCTACAGGTCTTAGCATTTAGGGATATAGCTCCTCAAGCTCCCACACATATTCTAATTATTCCCAAAGTGAGGGATGGCTTAACTAGACTGTCTAAGGTATATCCAGGATGCTCCTTTTTCCTTCCCCTTTTCAATTACATCTGCATAGACAATAAGTTTACTCTCTAACTTGGAGGAAATTATGGAGCTTGTACTACAACTCTTCTTCTCCAATATGGTAGCATTCTGTCTATGAAATGTAAATCAAGTATGAACATCCTTCTTTTTGTAATTTGATGTTCTGTCAAATTAAAAGATATTTATTTTCCATCATCTAGCTTCTTCATTATTCATAAAAACCCTGCTTTATGTCTTGGGGAGAGTTGTTTAAAAATTTCAACCTTCCACACATGAGCCTGTTTTAAAAGATATTTGATTTTGTCAACTAATCTCTGTCGACCTTTTCTGACATGGACCCTAGAATTTTGTTAGCTGCAGAAGGTTGTTTTTGTTTGGTTTTTCTCTGCATTCCATCCTTCACAAAAGTATTTACTAAAATTAGAGGAATAACCGTATAAGGCCTTCATAGAAGCACTTAAATATTACTTAGTTTTGACCTACACATTGTCAATAGTTTTTGTATTCTGTTCCAATTTCTTAACTGTTGACTTTCATTATTCCTTCTTTGAGCTTTTGGCAGCAGTAATTAGTATGGCTTTAGACCAATGCAAAGGCTACATATTTCAACATTCTTGTAGCCTTTTGGGTGGGTAGTGGCATTCAAAGCTGTCCTTTTTTTAGCAAATTCAGCAATTCCTGAAGATCCTCAGCTACGAATAAAACTCTGAAATGGCTTCTTGTTGGTTATAGAACATTATTTTCTTTTCCTTGCCAAAAGATGATTGAAAGAAGTTCAATAGTGCTCATAAATATCTTCAATTCTTACATTTGTAGGCTGAGGAAAGGCATTGTGAGATTCTTGGTCGCCTTCTTTACACGGCTAAGCTGGTGGCCAAACAGGAAGGGCTCGAAGATGGCTTCAGGGTTGTGATTAATGATGGCCCACAAGCAGGTATCTTCAATTTCTCCTTTCTCCATTCTACACGTTTTAAATGTCTGCCTACTTTTGAACTTTATTGGTTTAAGTGTTCTGGTGCAGGTCAATCTGTTTATCACATTCACGTCCATGTCCTTGGCGGTCGCCAAATGAACTGGCCTCCTGGCTAAGATGGTGTTAAAGTTGATTTAGGCTGGCAAGACTTTCATTGTAATAATAGAAGTACTTGTTGTCTGCCTTGATTGATAATTGCTAAATCTTAGTCAAGCAAAGTAGCCAATAGTTGCTTTCTGGTAAGATGTTCTGAATGTTACATGGCACCAATGGTGGGGCTGGCCCCTATACTGGGTAAGACCAATGACCCTCGTTAGGTATGAAAATAAGCAAAAGAGTTATATATCTATTGGCTTCTTTTTCCTCCGCACCATGTTTTTACCTGAAACACCTAGTTATGCATCTACTTTCTGTGACATGACATGGTTTTAGGAAAACCAGGATAAGGGGTAGCTTGTTCTTCTTTTCAAGTTCAAAGTTTTTGCTCAGACCGAGGTGAAAAGGTTGCATAACATTGTATGAATTTATTAGAGATTTTCTCCGGTCTTCAAGGGATATATTATTCCTTAAAATAAAATTAAAAGATGGGTCAACATTTAATTTTGGGGTCTAAGTCAACTTGAGAACTCAGTTCTATTATTGGAGATGTCAATTATTTACAAGTGAAGGGTCTTTGAAAGTCTGTTTCCAAGGCAGAGACCAACAAAATAATAAAATTGGTTCATTTTTTTATCCACCTAAAATTACTCAACAAGAGGTTCGTTCGGAGGTATGATTCGATTCCAAGGTTATGGAGAACCCTCTTAAGCCCATGTAGTAGCACGTTTCTCGCGCTTAACTAATTGGGTGGGAGATCAATTACTTCATTTAGACTTGTATGATTGACTATGTAATAACAAATACCCGTTTTTTATTTTTAAATCCCTCTCTAATCTTCACGTATTTTAGGATTTATATTTAAAACTTTCAATAATCTTATATTATTATCAATTAAAAACATCTAGAATTTAAGAAATTCACTTTTCAACCATTCTAGCTCTTGCTACTAATGATATATATATATATTTTTTCAATTGTTGAGCACAGTCCAGCTGCCAAAAAATAGACATAGCATGCACTAATTGACTTGGACTTTCTAAGAGAGGATGACCATTCAGTGCTTTGAATGCTTATTTTAAGAGGTTGCATTGCTTTCACGCCTTCAGTCTTTGCTCCCTCCAGAATAAATCCCATCTCTCTTTCTCCGCCATTAACTTATTTTGCAACTTCCAAGCTTCTAAATCCCCAAGGTATAAACACTCGACTTTTTGTTTCTTTTTGGTTCTTCTCATGTCATTGCTTCGAATTTGAGGTTGAAGAAACAAATTCAGTTTTGAGTCCGATAGTTTTCAATTTAAACTGCAACATACCATGAAACATTAGTTATTGAATGGAGGAGTATTCATTATTATCAAAAGCCCTCTCATCATTTAATAATTTATATTTTACAATCCAAACTATCTTTAGACTGCAAATTTTTTTTTTTAATTTTTGTTTTTGTTTTTTTGTTTTTATTTTATTTTTATCAAAATACATATAAAAAAGTGAAGTGCAGTCTATGTACAATAGATTGCAAAACAACATTCTCAAATATATATTCCTTGTCTTTTTTATCTTTTTTCTCAAATTTTTTCTCATTTATCTCAAAATTGAAAACTGAATTTCAAATTTATAGTTTCTAGTTCTTACTTGTTGAGATTTCCTTGACAACCGTCATTTTTTCTCCTTTTTTCTTGTCTTTAAGAGATCTCATGTGTTTTGAAATGTGTCAAAGGGAGTAGAAGGAGCTAATGGCAGAAGAAGAGAAAGGGAGAAGCGAAACTACCGGAAAACACCAAGTTTTCCAGGAGGGAAAATCTATGAGAAAATCAAGGTCAACTGATTCTTTAGGGACCAATTCTTCCATCGGAAAGTCTTGTGTGTGTTCTCCGACCAAACACCAAGGATCATTCCGATGCAGGCTTCATCGTACAATCCATAATCACCACAGCAATCTTGGTGAGACTCAATCTCACACCGCAGAGGCAAGAAGTTTCAAGCATTCGGTTTTGAACGAAGTTGAAGGAGAAAGCGAGTGAGATACTCTCTGTATTTTGTACAAAGAATTCACATTCTACAGTTTTATTTTTGTTTTTAAGATTATGATAATAAAACCAGAGTGAAGGTTATAAGATTATGTGGTATTTTGCACTAAAATGTGTGCAATAGACTATGGTTTCTCTTTGAATTAATTGTTTAAATATGATTGATAGTTGATAATTGATATTTGAAAGCTAGTTATTATTTATATTTACTTGTAATTATTTGATTAAAGAATAATATTTAGTAGTTATTTTTAATGACTAGAACAAGTGAAAGCTATTTTCACTTTCTTGACCTAATAAAAAATAAATTTATGTCTAAACTAGAATATTAATAAGAAATGAATTTATTATTGAAATTTTTAAGGAATTGAATCATAAATTCCTAATCATTAAAGTGGCAACAATTAAACATCCTTGTCAAAAAGACTAAGCTTCTTGATCAACTTCTTTTTGGTAGTGAGGTTTCTTAATCAATTTGATAACATAGATAAGAGAAATAATTAAGAAGCAACAAATTAAAATACCAACAAGGAGAACATTTAAAAAAAAAAAAACCCAACTCCGAGCAGAAAAAGGGGCCAAAAAATCAAGCCCAAGAAATGAACTGGCCCAACTTCGGCCGTATAGAAGCCCTCAAGTTATTTCCTCTCCTATTTTTCCTTCCACTTAATCAAATACTTTTATCTTGTAGTTCTCAAGCAACGCATGAACAAAAGTTAAAACGTTGTTCACTCTTTTAAATTGAAATATATTTAGTTGGCCAAAAAGGAAATTGGGATACATTTAACATCCGTTAGATACTTAGATCAAGTGTATGGGACAATCAATTAACTAAATTTAAATACCAAAATTATATAAAGTTACGAAAAGGATGAAAATAAA